TCTGAGCTCTCTGCGCCCTATGAGCCCCAATAACCCCCTGGGCCCTCTGAGATCTCTGAACCCCCTTAGCACTCTGAACCCGCGGAGCCCCCTGGACCCTCCGATACCTTAAGCTTCCCGAACCTTCCGAGTCCTTTGAGCCCGATGAGCCGTGATATGGGTAAAAAGCTGATTGATAAGCTAGATGCATGGACATGCACATAGTTACCTATATATATATATATATTCAGAAATGCAATAACGGTCAGTAACATGAATAGTTGCGATTACTGTCTTTTGGCCGTCCCGATGGTTATCCTGCTGGTTGTCCCTATTGTTGCCCTGATGTCTGAGCCACCCGAATCGCAGTGTCTCGGCCGCGCCCTTCCAGCCAGAGTCTCTTCTGCAGCGTTCCGATCAGTGCTTCCGCGTTCGAGCAGCGTTCCAGCCAGAGTCTCTTCAGCAGCGTTCCAGGGAGAGTTCCAGCCGAGGCTTCCAGGTTCGATCAGCCAGATTTCCAGCCGGAGCTTCCAGGTTCGAGCAGCATCTTCTGCGGCAGCGTTCCAGCCATAGCATTCAGGCTCTGGCAGCCAGAGCCCACGCATCTATTCCAACTTGAGAAATTGTCCTGCCCCCGCGTCTCTCAGCCGTGGCTCCGCGGAAGCCGACGGCGACCGAAGCCAGGGCCCCTGCAGAGCCTGCGGCACCCGAGGAGATTGTCCCGAAACGCCTTGCTGCCAGCAAGGCGTGCGTGAAGCCTTTCGACCTGCACACGCTGGTGTCGGACGGCACGGCGCTCAACTGGGGCAATCTCGGAGACCAGGGGGCCAGAGTTCCAGGGGGGGTGCAACTATTTGGAACCATGGCAGTCGTCGTCGTCGTCGTCGGCGCGGTCGTCTTCGTCGGCGTCGTCGTCTGCCCCAGGGTTTCGCCGTTCGACGTGGCGAGGGTGATGGCGGCTCTGAAAAACGTGACAATCAGAGAGCTGAGATCCAAGGGCGTCGTCATCACACCTGGCGTCGTCAAGATCCACGCCAAGAAGCTCGGGCCGAGCTCGGGAAAGACGATCGCGGATCGCTTTTTTATTGGCTGAGGAGAGGATGAATGGGGGCGAGGGGGGGGGGGGGGGATGATGGGAGGGCACGATGAGCAGAGGATGAGGAAAGGACGAGGAGAGCATGAGGACATGAAAAGGAGGAGGAGAGGGCGAGGGGGGGATGGGGACGAGGATGGGGGCAACGTGGTTGCATGAAAAAAACGATCTCCGAGAGCAAAAACCGCTTGGCGACGATTCCAGCGCGCCACGGCCACTACCTCGCCAAGGCGTTCCCCCACGCCGATATCAAGCGCATCCCGCTGGCCCAGGCCGACGCGCCTGCGGACGAGGCCGAGCGCAGCCCCGAGGCCGATTCCTTCGGACCGAGCTCGGACCCCGAGTGATCGCCATGATGAGACACCATGGCGACCATGACGGCCGTTGCAGCCATAGGATATGGCAATCATGGCGACGAGTCCAGCGAGCGGCGTTTTTACAGCAGCAAGCAACATTCAGTTTCCTTGCCCGAGTACGTTTATGTAAGCAGCCCGTGGCTGCGAAATGAAAAGGGAGGGGGAGGACATGAGGCGCGTGTAAACGATGAATCGATGAACGAGGCATGAGGACCGAGGAGGAATTCTGAGGAATGAAAAGGAATGAGGAATGAGGGGCGCGATGGGTGATGAACGAGGAGGTAACGAATCCATATCCATAAGTTGCTGCTGGGTTGCGCATTCTGTTCAGCCAGAGCTCTTGCAACAGTGCTCGTCCAGGGCTCTTGCAAGATTGCGTGTCTTGCGTGCCAAGTGCAGGGCTCTTGCAAAATTGCTCGTCCAGAACTCATGTGTGCCGAAACGGGTTTCGTTATCGCCCACCCTCCTCTGCCTCGTCGTCCTGTGATTATGGTTGCGAAGGGGCCCTCCTCTTACGTCCTGTGATTGCTCCCCGTTGGCTTTCGCATCTTACGATAGCGGGTTCATTTCTATGTCACGCTACGCTGAATCACAAACATCACATCACGCACGAAACATCACAACATGATGAAGCATCAGCAACACATCACGCTGAATCACCAACGCTTCGCGTTGAAGCACCCTGGAGCCCCAAGTCGTTCCCTGTCCTTGTGGCCCCCATATTGGACCTCGTTTCTGGCTCCAGCCCATCAAGGCCCCCCCCCCCCCCCCCTATGGGTTCCAGCCCACCAAGGCGCCTCCCTTGGGGCTACTTTGGGCCACTCCTTCGGGTTCCACCTTGGAGCCCGCCCCTCGTCGCTGCAGCGGGGGTCGTCGGCTCGGTTGCTGGGGCCGCGTCCCCCGTTATGCACGCTTGCACAAAACAGTGCAGGTAGCCGTAGTAGCAATAGTAGTAGCAGTAGTAGTAGTAGTAGTAGTAGTAGTTGTAGTTGTAGTAGTAGTAATAGTAGTAGTAGTAGTAGTAGTAGCAGTAGTAGTAGTAGCAGTAGTGGTAGCAGTAGTAGTGGTAGTAGTGGTAGTAGTGGTAGTGGTAGTAGTGGTAGTAGTGGTAGTAGTAGTAGTAGTAGTAGTAGTAGTAGTAATAGTAATAGTAGTAGTAGTAGTAGTAGTAGTAGTAGTAGTCGTAGTAGTAGTAGTAGTAGTAGTAGTCGTCGTAGTAGTCGTAGTAGTCGTAGTAGTAGTAGTTGTTGTTGTTGTTGCTGTACTAGTACAAGTAGTACTGCAAGTTCACTTGGTGGATCGGCGGTCGAACCCATCCCTTAATATGCGTGTTGATCCTCGTTGGCTGCTGCATCTTACGATTGCGAGTTCATTCCCAACCATCCTGTGGTGTTGGGTCCCCGTTTTGAAGAGACGGTGCCCCGCGTCTCCTTCCTTCCTTCCTCCTCCCCCTCCTCCCTCCTCCCCCATATTGGCTTTTGCTCTCCGCATGTCTCTGTTTCGGCACACCCCTCACACGTTTCGTGGCCCCATAGGGAGCTCCACCTAAGGTCCCAGTGGCGGAACTCGCATGGCGCCGCCGCCCCATTTTGGCACACCCCTCAAACGCTTCGTGAACCCATAAGGAGCTCCACCTGAGGTCCCGGTGGCGGAACTCGCATGGCGCCGCCGCCCTATTTTGGCATACCCCTCACACGTTTCGTGGCCCCATGGGGAGCTCCACCTAAGGTCCCAGTGGCGGAACTCGCATGGCGCCGCCGCCCCATTTTGGCACACCCCTCACACGTTTCATGGCCCCATACGGAGCTCCACCCCAGGTCCCGGCGGCGGAACTCGCATGGCGCCGCCGCCCCAATTTGGCACACCCCTCACACGTTTCGTGGCCCCATAGGGAGCTCCACCTAAGGTCCCAGAGGCGGAACTCGCATGGCGTCGCCGCCCCATTTTGGCACACCCCTCACACGCGTCGTGGCCCCACAGGGAGCTCCACCTAAGGTCCCAGCGGCGGAACTCGCATGGCGCCGCCGCCCCATTTTGGCACACCCCTGACAAGGTTTGTGGCCCCATAGGGAGCTCCACCTAAGGTCCCAGTGGATGAACTCGCATGGCGCCGCCGCCCCATTTTGGCACACCCCTCACACGTTTCGTGGCCCCATGGGAAGCTCCACCTAGGGTCCCAGTGGCGGAACTCGCATGGCGCCGCCGCCCCATTTTGGCACACCCTCACACGTTTCGTGGCCCCATAGGGAGCTCCACCTAAGGTCCCAGTGGCGGAACTCGCATGGCGCCGCCGCCCCATTTTGGCACACCCCTCACACGCGTCGTGGCCCCACAGGGAGCTCCACCGAAGGTCCCCGTGGCGGAACTCGCATGGCGCGGCCGCCCCATTTTGGCACACCCCTCACACGCTTCGTGGCCCCATAGGGAGCTCCACCTAAGGTCACAGTGGCGGAACTCCCATAGCGGCGCCGCCCCATTTTGGCACTCCCATGGCGGCGCCGCTCTGCCCAGCGGCCACAGTCTTGCCCGCTATCACCCAGCCAGCTCTCTGCTCCGCGCAGCGGACGACCCGCGCGCGTCGCCGGGACCCCTTCGGGGCGACCAGCGCGCGTCGCGGGGACTCAGTGCGGCGCCGCGCCCGCAGCCATGGACATCGGCGTGCACGGGCAAAGAGGCAGAGAAGAAGGGGGAGGAAGCGGGCGCGATCCTCGTGAGGGGCGTGCCGACATGGGCGTCGACATTGATGCGCGTAGACTGATTCGCACGCAGACGCATTCACAATCAGACTTACTCGCGCTCAGGCTCACCCGGTCTCAGTCTCGCGCACTCAGAGCGATCGTCTTTGTTCGTATTGGGGGCCCCGCCACGCATTTCGGCACGCCCCCTCACACGGCTCGTGGCCCCATAGGGAGCGCGAGCGAAGATGAGATCCACAATCGCGGTATTCACAACTGCATATGGTTGGGTCCTTCGCCAGGCTAATTTCTGCATCACGACACGCGGAATCACAAGCATCACGCTACGCACGAACCATCGCAATACGCTGAACCACCAACAACAACACAACACACTGAATCACCAACGCTTCGCGTTTAAGCACCCTGCAGCCCCAAGTGCATGTCGTCCCCATTCCTCGCGGCCCCCATCTTGGACCTCGTGTCGGGCTCCAGCCCATCAAGGCCCCCCTCCTATGGACTCCAGCCCATCAAGGCGCCTCCCTTGGGGCCACGTTGGGCCACTCCTTCGGGTTTCACCTTGGAGCCCAATTTACTTAGCGCGTGTAGGATATGGTAGAGCAGAGCGGGCTACGATCGCGTAGAATCGATATGGGGTACAGCGCTCATGTAGGTAGACCGTAGCAGAGTGGGCTACGCCAGAATGGAGTATACTATCCCACATGCCCAAACGCGTCTGACAGCTTCCAATGCGTCCAACATGTGCGGGGGCACCGCCAGGGCCTCAAGGCCCAAGGCCCTCTCCGTCTGTTGCAGTTCTGACCCGAGCTTCTTGTGGTTGCGTCCGCACTGCCAAGTGCAGATTATTTACTCCCTCGGCCTCTTCTAAGTCGTGGAATGAGGAGGCACAAGACGAAGGCCGAGGCCGCAGCTGCTGCTGAAGCCGATGATGATGAGAAGCCTGAGCCTGCCCAGAAGGCTCGCCGGCTGGGAGCAAAATCCACGGGTGGCTCTGCGGGTGGCTTTTCCCGCTTCGAGCAGGAGCTCGAAGCAGGTGATGCGAACGGCGTGCGTCTCGATCGTGCTGCCGATGGAACGGCGGCGCCTTCCGTAAGAAATCCAGCCCTGCCACGCAAGCCCTACAAGAAGAAGATGTCAGAGTGCATCGGCTGTGCGCAGCCCTTGGAGCAGTGCACATGGGCGAAAGACGCTCGCTGGGTCGGGGAGAAGGTTCAGTATGATCGCGGCTGCGACGGGTGCTACGATACCTTTGTCTGTGGAGCGTTCGACATCTTGAGCGGCATGGACTTCCCCACGTTCTGCCAGGTGGTCTACGCCAGCGAGACACTGAAGAATCCTTGGGAGAAGGCCCTGGAGAAGAAGAACGGTGTAGTCCACAAGCCCGACACGTGGATCTACCTGAAGCCGAGCGAGGTCTGCGAGTGCACTTCGACAGACTTCAGGGCGTTCGTTGACAAGCGTGGGTTCACGCCCGCTGAGTTCGAGGCTGAGTTTCACACAAAGTCATCGGACCTGGGGTTCAAGCTCCAAGATTTGGTGAAGACGAACGGCCAACAGTACAAGGGTGTACTCAAAACCGACGAGGGTGAGAAATTGGGTACCGGGGGCCAACATTGGCGGGGGTTCGAGGTCAAACGCAAGGAGACCACCATGCCTGAGGCGAACACTCTCTACGCGTCTCAGGCCGACATCTTGTTCAAGAGGATGATTCACCACGACATGAGCAAGCGGTCTCACTCGGCGCAGATGCTTTCGAAACTTCGTCATGCCAATTTGACCGCCGAGGAGATCAACGTCCGCGCTGGCCGCAGCGGTGATGCTGGAGGCGCTGGGCTTCGCGATGGCGGTGAGTCTACAGGAGGAGGTGGAGGCGATGATGATCGCGGCAGCCAATCGAGCAACTCTGGCGATGCAGGCGATGAGGAAGACGATGGTGGCGCGTCCGACGGGGGCGTCGACAGCACCCCGCGCAAGATGCAGAAGCTCGCCCAATTCAAGTCTCCCTCGAGCCGCCAGGCAGAGTCCCTGGCGGGGACACCTGGTGCTGGAGCGTTCCCTGCTGCGCCCTCCAGCCGTCCCCGAAGTGCAGCGTCTGGGCAGCATTTTGGGGCTGCGACCTTGCAGGGAGGGCTGAGAAGTGGCAAGTCCCAGACCGACCTGAGCCTCGGCGCACCTCCGACCACGGCGCCTTGCGGTGGCAGGGCGAAGGAAAGGTTGACCGTCAATGATTACATTCGGATCTTGACCCCCGAGAGCGCCCTCAACGAGAAAAGCTATTCTTTCTTGCACGATCGGTTCGCGAGGAAGCTCATGGGTGAGCTGCAGTCGAAGCCCGATAAGCCCAGCGAGTACTTCACGCTGAAGGAGCACTTGGAGAAGATTGACAAGGTCTTGGCGTTCTCAAAGCATGATATATCCACGATGCCTGCCTCCGACTTGCAGGGCGAATTGGAGGTCCTGAATTCCATCGCCAGGACGTGGCCTACCGACATCAAGGACTCCATCATGGCCAGACGCATTTCCGACCTAGGAGCGATCGACGACCGTTCCAGTAACGAAGCGATCAAGGAGGTCTTGTCAGCTATCATGCGGTGGAGGGATCAAGCCACCGATCAGGATATCGCATTCGATCCGCTGAAGCCGCGCCTATCAAGGATGGACGGGCCCCCGAAGGAGAAATGCCAGAATTTTCTGAAACTGATGGTGGACAACGTGATCACGAGGATGCTCTCGCAAGGCCCGTCCGTGAAGGTCCGCACCGCTCAGGTGTGCCTCTTGGCCCTGGAGAGCTTCAGGCAGAAGCCCGACGACATGGGCGAGGACATGCTGGCGATGATCTCCTCGCCGGTAAAAGGTTTTGACAGGCATGATATCGCTGTGTCTCGGCTCAGATACTAAGTTCATCGAGCAGGGTTGCCAGCTCCTGGAGTCAAGAAGATCGCTAACCATCGCATGGTGGTGCACGACGTCGCTGCGATCATCCGTGGGGCGCCCCCCTGGAAGGGCGCAGTGGACGACCTCGTGTCCAAGGGGCCCTCGACGAACGAAGACCTCGACAAGTATGGCGCGCTCAAGTCCCAGCTCGAGGAGGCTGCGAGTTCGGGCACCGTGGACATCATGGCCGTGACAACTGCTCTTTCTGAGTACGTGAGCCTCGCGCCCAACTTGCGGCTCGAGCTGAACAATGCGCTCAAGAAGCAGCTTGTCGAGCAGCTCGGCCCAGCACGAGGTCATGCCGCTCAGTATTTTCAATTTTTGGGGGCTAAGGCGCTGGTCGAGATTCCAACGGGCGAGGCGAAAACACGAATTGCTGAGATTCACGCCCTGTTCAAGAAAGCAGACAGTGTCTTGGCCCTGCAAGACTTCAACGCGAAAGACCCGCTAATGGAGATCGAGCGCGCGGAACAGTTGGTCCTCGATTCGCCCCAGTGCCAGAACTTCATCAGGCTGATGGCTACCTTGACGAGCGACTCTCTGACTGGCATGCCCGAGGAGGACGCGACTAATATTTTAGATACAGCGGTGACGGCGCCCAAACAAAATACGATCATGAGCCAGGCCGCTGCCCCTGCAGCTGCAGCCCTCTGCGACTTCGTCCAGACCGAGGCTGGGCCGGGGCACTCCATGGCCGGCGCTTTCCTGGAGATCGGAGTGGGGCTCAGCATGTTCCAGCATGAGGCCGAGAGCATCGGGGCCCGCTTTCACGCGATGAAGAAGTGCATCGCTATGCAAGCTTCGCGCCTGAGTTACGCCGAGCTGGGGGCGGCGCCGCTCGACGGGGCCAATGCTGACCCCGCGCTCGTGCATGCGAAGTGTTTCCTAGCGGCGTTCCGAGATTTCCAGCGGTCGAATTCGGCCGTGGGGGGCGACTTTCCACCAGCTGAAAGCGTCGCGAGGGTGGAGCTCGACCGCTGCAGCAAGATGATCGATGATATTGCCGACAATGCGGCGCTGGCTCTCAGCACGCAGATCCATGCCCAGATTGAGGAGTACAAGGCTGCTGGCCTCGACGTCGCAGGCATTACCAAGCGCTGGACAGACCAGATCCAGACCTCTCAGAAGAAGGGCGCCAAGCCTGCTGACAACATAGGCGCAGTGTACAAGCTTTGCAAGAAGACGTTGCCGATGATTAAGGGCGACGAGTTGGAGGCGCAGGTGATGCAGCTCAAGTCGCCGCGGGGTGATCTTCTCATCGTGCTCGAGACCTCCGGCCGACATCCCAAAGACGAGCTCTTGAAGGACTCAGGCGAGCTCATGGGCTGCATCCGTTCGGGGAGCATGGCTATCATCGAGGCGAAGCTCATGATGGGCTACGGCAAATTCGGGAGCCACGAGATGTCAATGCAACAATTCGTGGTTAAACTATCCAAAGAGCTGAGCGCCCTTGACCCTCCCGTCACCATGTGCCTGCTCTACAGATATACATGGACGCCATCGCAAACCTCGACCAGTGAGGATGGCGGCTGCCAGCACAGCTGCGCTATCTATAGGGGGTGGTTGGATGAGGAGGATGACGACGACGAGGATCATGATTAGGAGAACGGGGCCATGACGATGCTGAGGGCCATGGTGATGGGGATGAGGAGGAGTAGGAGCAGCAGGAGCATGAGGACGATTGGTGACCAAAGGTGGCATCAGGAGGGCCCCAGGACATCCCCAGTAGAATCCCGGAGTGGCCTCAAGAAGGCCACCCGTTTTGAACCGCGCGGTTTTCGGGAGCAGTGAAAGAAACGGGCCCGCGGGAGTATTTCTGGGGGCTGCATCGGGGATATACTGGGGCCCTCCTGATGCCGCAATTGGGCCGCTCTGGAACGCGCCAGCCCTCTCTCGAGAAGGATCTAGGGCTGCGCGCGCAGCACTGGACGGAAGGAAAACGAGGGATGGAGAAGGGGGGGGGGGCGGAGGGAGGAGGAGAAACCGGAGGCGCAGGGCGAGTGGAGGTGGAGGAGGAGGAGGAGGGGTTTCCTCCCTTCTGTCTTCTTCTATCCTCCTTCTCCTCCTCCTCCTCTTCCCCCCCCCCTTCCCTTTCCCTCCCCTCCTCCTCCTCTCTCTCCCCCGCCTCTCCTTCCATTATTTACTCTTCTTCCTCTTCCTCCTCCTCATTATTCTCCTCTCCCGTCTCTCCCTTTTACCTTCCCTCCTCTCCTCTTCGCTCCCTGCTCCTTCCCCTTAGTGCAATTATCCCCGTCCTCATTGCCCCGCTCTTCCCTATCTGTAGCTATTTAGGCTCGCGCTCGAGGCTCGAGCAACGGCCCGTAGGCCTATTAGTCGCAGTGCCAATCGCGACGTTCGTCGCGTCACTGAGCACCGTGGCTGGCACCGAGGTTCGTGCCCGAGATGGGCTTCATATACGTAGGTCGCCATGGGTACGTTCGGTTTCGGCGTGTTTCGCTTGGGCCAGCCCAGTGTTTCGGATTGTCTGCTCGGGCCCGTTAGGCTCTCCAGCTGTCTGCTGGTGCCCGCTAAGCTGTCCATGCATATGTTCACGCCCGCTTGGTTGTCCACGCGCTCTTTCGTGTCCATGGGGTTCTCCAGCTGTTTGATTGGGCCGATCGCGCTATGCAGATGCTCGTTCGGGCCCGATGGGTTTGGCAGTCGTCTGCGCGGGCCCGCCAGGTTTCCAAGGGCCCGCCTGGGCCCGCTGGATGTCCCACGTGTTGTTTCGGGGCCGTTGAGGTTTCCAACTGTGCGTTCGAGTTCGATGGATTCCCCCGTGTTCAGTTTGGGCCCGCTGGGTCTTACAGCGAGTCGCTCGGTCGCCCCGTTGGTTTTCCAGATGCCGCTCTGCCCGCCCAAACAACGCAGGCGTGCCGCGCGTGCTGTTGTAGCAGCGCGCCCACGGCGGCCTGTGTCACAATTCTTTTGTCCACGCTGCCCTTTGCGGGCGGCGATCGCGTTTTTCCGTGGGACTTGCCCATTCCCCCGCGATGGGGTCGAGTCAGCATTCGTTCGGGGAGGGGGGGCGGCACGCCCTGTTTCTCCCGTTGCTTCTCTTGCTGATTGGCGTTGCTGAGGTCGCGGCCCGTAGGCCTACTTCCGCGTGCTCAACGGACGCAGCGCGCGCTTTCCCGAAGCGATGTCCCGCGGCCTGTGGCCTTTTTTTTGTTTATAACAAACACATATGTTAACTTAAAAAACAACTTATTTTGTGTTCGCAATATCAACTTTTAACCAACTCGAAAACAACTTTCCGTCTTTGTACTCTCCTCCACCGCTGTAGAGGGCGGAGAACGTCATAGGGATGGCCCAGGGAGCATTATTCCATGGTAGAGAAATCAACCTTACCCAGCCCGCCAAAACAAAAAGGAAACATAATCTCCGCCGCGACGACGACGACGACGACGCTGACGACTACGACAAAAAAAAACGACTACAATCACGACGACGATCACGACTACAATCACAACAAAAAACCATTACAACCGCGACCACTATCACGACTACAACCGCAACCGCTGTTTCCTAAGGCCCTTCTCATGCAAAAATACTTACGGATCCTCTCACTTGTAGGGTGGCCCACAATGGATAATTCCTTGGGAGACAAAATGCATTATCCAGCCCGCCCAGCAATAGAGGACAACGCCGCGACGACGACGACGACGAGGACAGGGGGGAGGAGGAGGAGGAGGAGGAGAGGAGGAGGAGGAGGAGGAAGAGGAGCAAGAGGAGGAGGAGGAGGAGGAGCAGGAGCGAGAGCAGGAGCAGGAGCAGGAAGAGGGGCGAGTTTGTTCACCGCCGAAAAAAAAAAAAACAAGGGGGGAACCCAAAACGAAAGGCCTGCTGCGGGCACTCCTGGCCACCCCCAGCCCTGTCGAGTCGGGACTCTGGGAAAGCCCGGATGGAACCGCTCACGTCGTGGGACGGACTGGGACGTCCCCGGCGCAGGGGCCGCGGGGGCCCTGGCGGCTTGACCCCGCAGCTGTGCGGCGAGGCCGTGGCTGGAGGCGGGCCGACGATGTCCACGATCTGCGAATATATACATATATATATATAAATACATATATATATACACATTTATATCCGCACCCACGCCCTCGTGGGTCTGGATTCCGGGGCGCGATCCCGCAGATTGGCGGTCGCGCGGTCAAATTCCGCGCGGGGCATCCGCCCCCCCAAGAAATCGCATCTGCGGGGTCGCGGCCCAGGGGCCCGGCCCGCGGGAGACCGCAGATACGGAGATATGTCGCCCACGAACCCAGCTATCGTCCTCCCAGCGCGCGTTTGGCGCGTCGCAGCCGCGAAACCACGCGTTGGCGTGTCTGTCGCCCGACGTGGCGCGCATTTGGCGCGTATACTTCGCTGCGCCCAGGCGTCCTACTGGGCGCATGGCTTCACTAATATATAATGAGCCTGGTAGGTCATATTGCATCCAATTCCCTGTCGAAGGAATACGATATGGGGTGTGGGTGGGTAAGAAGATAGGAGAAGATCGATGTATCGGTCTTTCCAGCGCATAGCGAATACCGAGTCAGGTATCCGGGCAAATAGGGCGCGCGTGCCTTGAGCCAAAGGCAGCGACGCGCAGGCTATACTCCCGTTTACATATATCAGCTCCCAAAGAGCTACCCTTAAAGTCGGGAGGGGAAAAGACGGAGAGTAAAGCCGCGCAGTCGCTAGGCTCTCAGCAATCGCGCGACAGCTCGAACGCAAAAAACAACAGTACTCGCAGTCTAGTTTACCACCAGACTGAAGGGCGATTCTCTTCGCCGGCGAGCTACCTCGCAAAAGTTTTCCACGCGTCTGCAGAGACAGCCCCTGGAGTGGCCAAGGGCTATCGGCCCGGCTGAAGGTTAGCCAAACAAGCTATTCCCCTCCGGGCAAAAGGTATTAGGGCAAGGAGCCTAGACAGAACTGGAAAGGCTCGCTGCCAAGCGTGAAAAACGGCATGGCTCGTTTTCGAGCGAGCTGGAGAGCGCCTACATAATAGGCGCCCGTGCTGGCAAGCTGGGCCGCAGAGGCAACAAGGACAGACTAGAAACGATTCGGCTTCAGCAGATTTGTCCTCAGGGCCCCGAAAGGGAACAAACTGCTTCACGTCATTCTTAAACGACTGAGTACCTGACATCACTTCCCAAAGCAGCTCCCGATCGATACTCCCATTTGCGTGCCCATCTGCTGTCATGTCCCTAGTGTCACACCACTGTACGTTATGCACTATACCTATATCCATGAGCTCACGTATCCAACTGATATGTCCTAGCAGTGCGCGTTCTGTCGGTATCTTGAGGTCTTTGCTAGATAATGACTTATATACGGGCTCGGCGTCTATCGTGAGGGATACTTTGATAGCTAGGCCTCCAACTTCACGCATATCCCGTAGTTGTCGTGGAGTAAGTGCCCCAGCCTTGAGCTCGTGGAGGGTGACGAGCGTGGGATAGCATTTATCAAGGTTGCGTGCAGCTGCAAGTGCCTCAGCGGTGTAGCTGGGCCTCACCTGCAGTCGGTGTGACTTGCAGAGTCCGTCGCAAAGGTGAACGACGGATTTACCTTGGGGCGAGTTTCCTCGCCTTAGTACGGTAGCCCCACGAATGCCGTTTGGTGGCCCCCAATCGTGGTGGTGAGAACACCCAGTGCTGAGTTTTGGGCGATTTGGGTATTGTTTTTTCGAGCGCTGGCAGTTAGCGCAAAACCTCGTGGCGACCGCGCGACCCCAAACCCGGCGGCGACCCATAATTATTTTCTGGGGGAATCGGGGTCACCACCGGGTGTCTCACCACCTGGTTTGGAGACCGCCAAGCCGTAGCCCTTGGTCTCGCCGTCCTCCTCCCCGGTGAGTTTCCGATACCCCGAGTCACTATGTATGTCTACTTCATCAGTCGGCTTCATCCGAGGGAAGGTGATGCGTTTCGGGCTGCTGATCAGCTTTCGCGCCACAGCATTCAGCCGTCTGACTTGTAGGTCGGCAGGCTCTTGGATCTTCTGGAGAGACACCACGTGCACCATGATACAGACCTGCGTGAGGAGGGCATAGGCGAGAGCTCCTCGAAGGATAACGAACATGTCGGTAATGAGCTTGGTAGCCTTAGCTTCGGCCGCCGCGCCTGTAAGTTCAGGATGCGTGATAGGACGTAGTTGTTTGATGTGTTCCCATGATCACATCCCCTTGTTCGTTCTTCGTGTAGCGGGCGGCGCAGTTAATGTAAGAGTGCATGTTGAGCTTGCACTTGCCAAACACCTTTTCGACACGCTGTACGTAGTCAACTGTGCTTTTCTCTAAGTCTGTCATATTAATATCGTCGACGTGTTTTGCCGCTTACAGTTCCTGGCTGAATTCGAATTCAGGATCGCGGCTGGTCGGTGCAAGGCCTATAGCTCAAGTGGTCGTGCGAAGCTTGAGAGAGAACGCTCTCGGAGCGTCTTTCGTACCGGCCCCTGGCTTCAGGCATCTAAGGCAATGTCGGATTTCATCGTAAGAGGAGAAGCCCGG